TCAATTAGGTGAACAGTGAGAACTAATCATTACAAGCAAAAAAGGTAGGTAATTGCTTTTTGAAGTATCATCTTTTAATTAGTGTCGAGAATGTTATTATTTTAACCCACATGAGAGTAATGCCCAGAGTTTCAGAATTGTCTTACAAATAGAAGCAAGAACTCTTAGAAGAGTAATGTATATCAAATAAAGCATAGGTAATTGGCCGACGTGAAAAAATGCTAAGTTTAGAGTTGCACAACCCTGATTAAAACAATTATCTTATGGTTAGTCAAACAAAACGAACTAGTTTACGTCAAGCACTGATTTACGCCTACGCTACCTCTCGTGTTGAATGTAAGTGCAGAGTAGCGAAACATAGCAAGCACTCGCTTTTTTGAAAAAAGTTCGAGTCTGCTGAAAGACCGCTTTGCTAAGAAAGCGGTGTGCTAAAACACCTAGCACCCTAATGTAACTACAAATTTTGATTCGCACCTGACAAACATTCGCTACTTGACAATGCCCCCTTTGAAACTAACCTTCTGAGTTTTAAAAAATTTTTTGAATCTGCTAAAAGATCTTTCAATCACAATTCAAAATGCAATTCAAAATTTGTTCACGACGACAAATAATTTGTTAGGCCGAAATGTTATTTGAAAATTTTGTTTTTAGATTGTTAGTTTGGCGCCAATCAGTAATAGAACAAAGTTATGAATCTTCTTACCGAAAATAAACTGCTGTTTTAAAAGAAAAGCTTTTGATAGATAGCTTATCATAGATAGCTTTTGATAGAAAATTTAAAAAAGATAAATGTGGGGTGGTCGGAAAACATAGATAGCTTTTGATAGAAAATTGAGGGGTGGTCGGAAATATAGATAGCTTTTGAAACATAGATAGCTTTTGATAGAAAATTGTAGGGTGGTCGGAAAACAGAGAGCTTTTGATAGAAAATTTAAAAAAGATAATTGTGCGGCATAAAAAAGTGGACAGTTTGTTACAATCAATCTATTCATGAAAAACGAAATCCGGAACTAATCCTGGGATGGAAAAATTACACAAAACACCAAAAAAAACTATAACTGATTTTGACAAAATATATTGCAATTCTTTCGGTTTTTTTTCGGCTATAAATAGCCACCATTTCATAAAATTGCGAATAAAAATGAGTGAAAGCGAATACACGAAAACGAGTAAAATCGAATATTAAATAGGAAATTATTGCCGAATTATAGAAGATCGAGAGTTGATAAATTGCAGATAGCTGGTTGAGACTTAAGGCGTTTTTGTTGTGGAGATCTATTGCAACTTTTCAAAAAAAAAAGAAATTTGTCATTGATAACGTGGTGCTGAGGTCTTGAGTTTTAAATGTATAACTAGAAATGAATACAACGGAATTGATACCATGAGAAAACTAGTTTAAAAACTAACTTTTGAAAAAGTTGCTTTTATAATTTTTTAGCATCCTTTTCTTTGTTCACATGCTTATTTTGGTTTGAAAACGGGAAATTTATTTAAAACTAAAAAGTTTAAAATTCTATTCTACTTTTTGCATTTACTTTTAGTTTTATTGTTTGCATGTTTCAACAAATCTAATAGCAATTAGAACTAGTCTACTCGCTGACAGTTGATTTCAACACGTACACTTCCTGATTTTAACATTCCACAGTGCTCTGACGTCCAATATATTCGCCTCTTTGTTTTTTTCTATAACTGTATTTGAAATTGAACAGGCCTCAATCAATATATCAAAAAAAAATTCTTCAGTTTTTTTCCAAGATGCCTCGCACTAGACTTCATTTAAAACTTAACTTCTTCCGGTAAAATTAACCGTTGTTGGTGTAGTTTTGTGGTATATTAAAAGTATTTATTTAGGTAAAATATTAGACGTTTTCCGACTTTTGAAGAAAGTAACGGGGTTTTATATTTCTGGTAGGCTCTTTTCAAGATAAGTTACGGAATTTCGACCAGCATTTCTTAACGGATTTTTAAAATAGTATCTGGATCTTTAACCTCTATAATTCAAACTGTGATCATTATCGCCTCGCCCGATCAAGTTGTTGTTCAGATTGCTCCAAAAATTTTCTTTTCGTTTTTTTTCCAAAATTTCTCGTACAATTTTTTATGGGCAATCACTGGATCTAATGATAGAAATTATTGACTACAAACTTAAAGTAACCTTTAAAACAGCAGTTTTTTTTCGGTAAAAAAGATTCATAACTTTGCTCTATTAATGATTGGCGCCAAACTAACAATCTAAAAACTAAATTTTCAAATAACGTTTCGGCCTAACAAATTATTTGTCTTCGTGAACAAATTTTGAATTGCATTTCGAATTGTGATTGAAAGATCTTTTAGCAGATGCAGATTCAAAAGATTTTAAAACTCAGAAGGTTAATTTCAAAGGGGGCATCGTCAAGTAGCGAATGTTTGCTCCGCTGCGCATATCATCAGTTCGTGTGCTTTTGTAGGTGCGAATCAATATTTGTAATTACATAAGGGTGCTAGGTGTTTTAGCAGACCGGTTTCTTAGCAAACCGCTCTTTCAGCAGACTCAAAATTGTTTTCAAAAAAGCGAGTGCTTGCTGTGCTTCGCTTCACTGCACTTACATTCAACACGAGAGGTAGCGTACGTGTGAATCAGAGTTTGACGGTAAACTAGTTTGTTTCGTTTGACTAACCATAAGATAATTGTTTTAATTAGGGAAGTGCAACTCCAAACTTAGCATTTTTTCAGGTCGGCTAATTACTTATGCTTTAGTCGTATTCCATTACTCTGCTCAAATTCTTGCTTCTATTTGTAAGACAATTCTAAAATCCCGAAGCATCTAAAAGTTTGGCCGTTTCTCTCATGTGTATTAAAATAATGTTTTTTCCACACTATTTAAAAGATGATATTTAAAAGCCTTTTTTGCTTCTAATGATTAGTTTTCACTAGTCACCTAATTGATTGCAGAGGTCTAGTAATTATTCAACTTCCTAATGACTTCAAAACCACCAGCAACTTTTTCCCCTGATTTCGAAGTCTTAAAATAATATAGTTTACCTAACATCAACTTTCTGATGTTATGAGGCTACTAATTTGGCTAATGTGGATTGAATGTTGTTAAAGTTAATGGTCAAAGAAGACGCTATACTTACTACAAATTTGATCATTTTGTAATGGACGTTATACGTTGTAACAAGTCAAAAGCAGAAGTCAAGACATATTAAAAATTCAATGCTTTGACTCCGAGAAATTCGCATCTTTGTGAATTTCGACTACATTGAGAAGTCTTAATGGTAGCAACAAACGTAAATGTTTATAGTAGCAACAAAACATCAACAACAAAAAAACTTATAAGAGAATCTGATCAACATGTAGCCTTTGTATGAACCTCCATATCTGACCCGCTGGTTTCTTCAAATAGTAAAAAAGAAGTCGAATTTTTCTTATTTCCTTGGAAATTACATTTTCTCGAAAAAGAAAATTTGTTGATACTTTGAAAAATTAAATACATCAAAGAATAGAATGGAGATTAAGTTATTCGCGTCTTTCGAATACGTCAAACTTCACTGTCAATTAAATTTAAATTGTTTCTTTTAAGTAGAACGTATTCATTGTGAAATAATTTTTACTCATTTTTGCAATTATAAATATATATTTTTTGAACTTTACAGTCAAAATGAAAAAAGACTTATTTCAATTTATTACAATTTGCGTGATTGATTGGTCAAATTTCACTTGAGGAATAAAAGATTAATACAAGACTCAATTCATCTTGTTTATATAATAGATAAGTTTGTAAATAATGTTAATAATGTCATGACAAAATTCTAGAGTTCATCTTAAATCTTTCATAAATTGAGACAGAGTGAGTGAGTGAACTTGATTATGAATAGAAAATGGATTGACAGGTCGGTAGCGACCTTGATAGCCAATAGGCAAGATTAGCACGATTAATAATTAGCATTGAAAGTAATACTATAATGACGTCATAACGATACAGTTAGACAGCACCACACCACATTTCCCCCTCTAGGGAAAAAATCAAATGAACATTTGAATTTCTTAAATTAAGAATAACTAAACATACACTCACTGCCGGTAACAAAACTTCCTATAACAGATGAAGCACTAAGAGAAGTTTACAAGATTGACGGATATGACTCAATATAAATATACTGGAAATGTTTTAAATGACTAGAAGAGTTTAAATAACAGGAGAGTTCTATTTATCTGAATGACGCAAGGGATGATCCAATGAGCTCTTGTTCGGAAAACGTGTAAATTTTCTGCTAAAATCTTCAGACTCATTGGGTAGAATAACCCGGGACTTCCCCACTTGAACATCTGGTTGTTAGTTGGCCACAGCAAAACGAACTCTCCTGTCCGGCGAAACAGAAGTTGACGGAGAAGACAAAGTAGCTTGGACAGCATTCACGGAATGTCTGATTGGGCTGCCGTAGAAAGTTGTCTGCTTTTTCCGGCGAGATGAAATTCGGGAAGAGCTTGATGATGACGAAATATTTCCGTCCGGTTCAGAAACTTAACCAGACACATCCCGGGTGGGAAGACGCGATGCTGCCAAATTGGTCGAAGAGCACTCTTGTAGCTTCGGTACCGATGACTCATCTTCCGAAGAAATAGGGATAAGATCCGGGCAGAATAATAGTTTGTCTTTCGTCTTTACTTTTTCACCTTTATTTCATTTCATTTTTCTTATAAGTTAAGAAGATAACCAATGCCAATCATAACGGTTTGGTAAGCATTTAGGCGATCGTTAAGGGAAGCGTCTCCAAAATCAAACTGGGAATTTGAATCGTTATATAAATACTGTCTGTTTCGCTGTTTTTTCCACAATCCCGTTTAAAAGCAAGTTTTTCGAGATTTTGGGTAGACCCCGCTTAACGATCACCAGCGTCGCATGTTAGAGAAGGTTATATTGAAAAAAGGTTAGTGTATCAGCAGAAAAAGAAAGTTACTTCAAGAATATTCATTACGACATTATTCACAGAAAGGGAGCTGCGTTTTCCAAACTTACCGTAATCTGTTTCCTCTGAAATTTGCACATATTAGCGTTTTTAATACACTGGAAACCTTTTTTATAAACAAAACTGACTTCAATAAAACCATTTCAAGTCTTAATCATCAAATGATAACACTTTCTATCTTTTTATTAGCATAGTTTTGGTTTTTTAACGAAACAATTACCAACAGAAAAGAAGCAATTAGAGAATTAAGAGAATCAAAGATTATATGGAGAAAAATTATAATCCTTACTGGGTGCTTGAAAAAATAAATTTCCCTTATAAGCTAAGAAATCAACAAAAAACTTATTTTAATTTTTTGGCTTAATTAAGCCTGTGTTTTTGATATTCTTTTGTTGAACCAGGGTGATAGGATTATTATGAGCTTCTTCCACAGCAATTGGTTATCCTCGTTAGATAAGAGGTTCTCGGTGTAAAATATAACTGACTGCATTTTGGTTTTTCTCTGAACAAAATTCCTAAAGCGCACAATAAAGTTGCGCAGATAAAATGGTATTAAAACTTCAATTTTTACACTTTTGCCAAAAAAATTGGCTTTTAAAATAAATTGTAAATACTGTGCGAAGTATAGCAAAAAATGATCCAGCTATTTAAGTTTAAATAACCACCTATTGTAATATATCACCCTAAATTTTTCAAACAAGCTTTTATTTTTTGTTTTGGGTTTCGAATCATGACTACTAGCCTTGATTGTATACCACCCCCTACAAGCTTTCTATCAGTTTGTCAAAACCTGCTCAAAAAAACACAACCTATGCTGTAGTGTCTTCATATTTCGTGAAAAGGGTCAAAAAAGAAAACATTCATAAAGTATCTCGAACGATGTCTCATGTAGCAGAAGTCTCAAAAGAAGTTAGGTTTGGTAGGTTTCATTTTTATCAACTTTCAACACTACTGAATTGAAAACCAGAGGGTCTCTTTAATTGTTTCCCCCTTTTGCAAGGGGGGAGCGATTCGTTACTAGGTACAAAATTCAAGTATGTTTAACCGTTGAGTTAGTTCATTATAGGGGTGACAATACGATACTAGGTAGAAAAAAGATAAAATAGTTAAAAAGATTCAAACCAAACTGTAATCTACCAAAGATCATTGCAATAGTTAATAGAAATTATGAAAATTCAATTTTTTGGCCTCATAGTATTGAACTAATTAAACTGAAACTAAAATGGACGAACCTTTTTTTTAACTTTGTTTTTTCTAATTTTCCTCAGCAACTAAATTTTGATGCCCTCGATCAAAAAGATCGAAGAAAATGATTTACCCCGCAAAAAAACAGCAAATTAGGGATGAAACGTCTATCGGGACTTGAGGACAAAGTTTTCATCTGGAAAATTGGCTCCAATTGTATCAATTTTGAAATTGAAAAACCGATGAAACTATTGTGCGATGCTTATAAACTGTTGAAGTTGAAAGGCTAGAACAAACATATTCTGGATAACCCGGCACTTATAAATTTACTTGGAAAATTTATTTTCAACTCAATCCACTCAAAAATGGTCCATATAAATCGGCTCATTTTTCTGCGCATTGGATTTGTGAACCAAAAAATAATTAGATTAGGCTGCATTGTTTAATTAAGCTGCTCGATGAAGCAATCAAAAAATTACAAAAAAAATCAAAATGGTAATAGATTTGAGCTATAAATTCCCAAGTTGTTTCCCCTATCACTGTTTTTACTACTTTTGAAAGTGAGAATGAACAGTAATTTAGTTATGTACTCATTTTTGACTACATTAAAAACTCGACGAATGCCAAGTAGTATTTTAATTGAGCGTAGTATTTCAAAACTCGAAGAAGTATTTTAATCGAGCGCTAATGGTTTTCATTTGGACTTCGAAAAAACTCAAAAACTAATGAATGTTTTGACGAAATTGAATCTGAACTTTTTCACATCAAACGAATTTTCAAACTAAAAAATTCAGTCTGAAATTCTAATTTATTATTCTGGATTTTTTTTTTAAATTTTTTTTTCGTATTTTACATGGATTTTATTGTTTTTTAACCATTTCAGTCTCCTCTTACTAACTAAAAATAAAACGACAATTGAATCACAACAGAAAGTAAAAAAATATATACAAAAAAAAACAAATATAGTTTATAATAGATCTCAAGTGGTCGGAACATTCTGTGATTTTTTATGATAATAATTCACGCATTGAAGAAAATTAAATCCGTATTATGACTTATGTATTAAGAATTAAAATGAGATTTTCACTCAAGGATTGAGAAATCAATCTAAATATTATGTAGAAGTTTTTAAAAAGAGATGGTTGGTTTCCAAATGATTAATTCCATTTTTTTCACAAGACCTAAATATAAGCTGTAAGAGTTTTTTTGTTGCGGTAAAAAAATCTATCAAAAAATTTTCATTAAATTGTATTGTAATGCTTCTAATTTTTCGTAAATTTTCGAATTTTTGGTTTTTACAATATCCATTTTTTACTACAAGATTTTTTGTTAGCACTTTGCTGATCATTTATGAAAGTAAGAGCTCAAAACCTATGCAGGGGTACACTGAGCTGAGAAAGAGAAACAAAGACTGCAATTTGCCTAGATACAGAATAGTAGGAAGACCGAACCACCAACATACTTAATTTCTATCATTTAATTTTTTGAACCCATCAATTTTTTTCTGTACTCAAAGCTCTTAAAAAAACTGTCCTTTTTGAGATGTCTTGAGGTGAGACTTCACGATTGGCTTTCAAAAAATCAAAATGGGATTGAACATAGCCAAAAACAATTAAAAAAACCCGTGAAACAATGCAACAAAAAAAGGAGAGAAGTAAGTTTGTCTGTTTAAAAAAAAACATTCGACTAAAGTGTTTCACAACAAAACTTTCCCATTCAAAATTATAGAATATTTCTTATTAATTTTTTTTTCTATGGAATTATTGAACTCATCTATTCATAAAAAACGAAATCCGGAACTAAACTTGGGATGGAAAAATTACACAAAACACCAAAATTTCGAATAAAATGAGTGAAAGCGAATACACGAAAACGAGTAAAATCGAATTTTAAGTAGGAAATTATTGCCGAATTATAGAAGATCGAGAGTTGATAAATTGAAAATGGCTGGTTGAGACTTAAGACATTTTTGTTGTGGAGATCTATTGCAATTTTTCAAAAATACAATTTGTCATTGATAACGTGGCGCTGAGGTCTTGAGTTTTGAATCTATAGATAGAAATGAATACAACGCAATTGTCGCTATGAGAAAACTAGTTTAAAATTAACTTTTGATGAAGATGCTTTTATAATTTTTTAGCATCCTTTTCTTTGTTCACATGCTTTATTTGGCTTGAAAAACGGGAAATTTATTTAAAACTAAAAAGTTTAAAATTCTTTTCTACTTTTTGCATTTATTTTTAGTTTTATTGTTTGCATGTTTCAACATATCTAATAGCAATTAGTGTCAGTCTACTTGCTGACACAGTTGATTTCAACACGTACACTTTCTGATTTTAACATTCCACAGTGCTCTCTGACGTCCAATATATTCGCCTCTTTGTTTTTTTCTATAACTGTATTTGAAATTGAACAGGCCTCAATCAGTATATCAAAAAAAAATTCCTCAGTTTTTTCCAAGATGTCTCGCACTAGACTTCATTTAAAACTTAACTTCTTCCGGTAAAATTAACCGTTGTTGGTGTAGTTTTGTGGTATATTAAAAGTATTTATTTAGTTAAAATATTAGACGTTTTCCGACTTTTGAAGAAAGTAACGGGGTTTTATATTTCTGGTAGGCTTTTTTCAAGATAAGTTACGGAATTTCGACCAGCATTTCTTAACGGATTTTTAAAATAGTATCTGGATCTTTAACCTCTATAATTCAAATTGTGATCATTATCGCCTCGCCCGATCAAGTTGTTGTTCAGATTGCTCCAAAAGTTTTCTTTTCGTTTTTTTCCAAAATTTCTCGTACAATTTCCCATTGGCAATCACTGGGTCTAATGAAAGAAATTATTGACTACAAACTTAAAGCAACCTTTAAAACAGCAGTTTTTTTTTGGTAAAAAATATTCATAACTTTGCTCTATTAATGATTGGCGCCAAACTAACAATCTAAAAAAAAAATTTCAAATAACGTTTCGGCCTAACAAATTATTTGTCTTCGTGAACAAATTTTGAATTGCATTTCGAATTGTGATTGAAAGATCTTTTAGCAGATTCAAACGATTTTAAAACTCAGAAGGTTAATTTCAAAGGGGGCATCGTCAAGTAGCGAATGTTTGCTCCGCTGCGCATATCATCAGTTCGTGTGCTTTTGTAGGTGCGAATCAATATTTGTAGTTACATAAGGGTGCTAGGTGTTTTAGCAGACCGGTTTCTTAGCAAACCGCTCTTTCAGCAGATTCATATTTTTTTTTTTCAAAAAAGTGAGTGCTTGCTCTGCTTCGCTTTTCTGCACTTACATTCAACACGAGAGGTAGAGTACGCGTGAATCAGAGTTTGACGGTAAACTAGTTTGTTTCGTTTGAATAACCATAAGATAATTGTTTTAATTAGGGAAGTGCAACTCCAAACTTAGCATTTTCCAGGTCGGCTAATTACTTATGCTTTTTTAAAATTCCATTACTCTGATAAAATTCTTGCTTCTATTTGTAAGACAATTCTACAATGTCGAAGCATCGAAAAAATTTGGGCGTTTCTCTCATGTGTGTTAAAATGATGTTATTTTCTACACTAATTAAAAGCTGATACTTCAAAAGGCAATTACTTACCTTTTTTGCTTCTAATGTTTGGTTTTCACTAGTCACCTAATTGATTGCAGAGGTCTAGTAATTATTCAACTTCCCATTTACTTCAAAACCACCAGCAATTTTTCCCCCTGATTTCGAAGTCTTAAAATAATATAGTTTACCTAACATCAACTTTCTGATGTTATGAGGCTACTAATTTGGCTAATCTTGGTTGAATGTTGTTGTTCCGACTTTCGATACGAGAGTAACGGAATATTTGTGCTCGGGGTGGGTTTTTTTTTCTTCAGACAAATTTCGACTTTTTA